GTTCTAAAAACGCCTTCTTAAATCGATTGAAAGACGTTAGTATAGGTCGATATTGCTGGTTGCTCATATCTCTATTTTTATATAGGTTTCAAAATTTTTTTCCATTTTTATTCAACATGTTTTTTAATACTACTATTTTTTATATAAAAAGCATTATTTAAGGTGGTTGTAAACGCTGGCAGTTCAATACGCCGTAAGTTATTCTACTAAATAACCAAAATCATTCCCAGCAAGTAGGTCAAAGGTCACCCAACTCACCGGCAAAGGGTGGGGAGATTTTCCCCGAGATTTTTGGGTCGTATAGGTACCCAGGGGTGTTGAGCAAAAAACGGGATTCACGTCATTCCAGGATTTTCCCATTTTTTCCCACCAAAAATGTTTCGACGATTTTTTGGGTCGATGTACTACCCAAGGGTTTTGAGCAAAAACCGGGTAAAAAGGGGCGTGTGCTCCAGAACTGTCCCTTCTCTACTACTTTCGTTCGAAAATATCAGAGTGGTTTCATCCAATGCTTTGTAATGAATCTTCCTTTTTATTGGATGATAGTGTTTATTCACATATAAGGTATTAGCAATTTTCTTCTATCAAAATAAAACATTTAAATACCCTGGTGAACCGAATTGCGTTTTCCAGGATTCGCTGAAACGCCAACCGGATACCTGGTGGCTCTCAAGAAGAAGCATGATTTCACAGTCTTTGGAGACGATGTAGAACAGTTGGTACTCTCCGTCGATTTCCAAACTGACCAGCGACTTCACTTCAAGGTAACTGCTTCACACATTCCGATTTCTCTGTCGTATGTATCACGGATGGATAATCCGGACCAAATTTCTCGGGAGGGTGGCCTTTTTTGAAGAGGACAAATCTGCTAATTTCTGTGTGGCCGTTTTGAAGGGTGAGCCCAATTTTGGGGGTTTTACACACTTTATGAAGTACGCCCTTGTCTTTTCTGCTGTTTTCTCGTGACGTTATCGTCACTGTTCTACCACTGAACGCATGCATCTGTCCTTACTTCTTTCCTTTTTTCCTGGACTGAAAGTTCGTAGACGCAATGCAAGAGAGATTCGAAGTTCCCTTGGACATACCAGCACCAACCGTGCGAGCATCAAACCCGCTGTATGATGTGGTCTTCTCCAACGACCCTATCTTCAACATGCGAGTGATCCGGAACGACACAGACACCGTCCTGTGAGTAATTAGGAAATTCCTTCGGGTGTGAACGTTGGCTGGGATTTATATAGTATCCGGTTCGTTAATGAATGCATCATACACGCTTCAGTTTCACCGGTTCCACATGGCGTAAAAATATGATTAACTTTGAAGAGGAACGGCGCGAGTGGAGTCTAAAGTTTGAGAGGGGGCACTCAATGGGTTTGGTCATCGCATTTCAATTAATGCAAATCTCTCTGCCTCTTTTTCTTCTTCGAAGTTTAAGTAAGCACACAAGGTGGTCGGTCTTGTTGGGCATTGGAGGGCCAGGCTCCCTTACTGTGCGGTTGGTCTGACTCGTTGGCACTTGCCTAAACGCTGTGTTATGTTTCAAAGCCAATTGGAGGCTGGGGAGAGGCAATAGCTCTCCTTGTAACTCCCATTTCATGTGCGAAAACAAACGGTTTGACTTCGTAGTTTCTGGTGAATGAGATCTCGTGAAATCATGCTGCTGATCGTTTCATCAAACTCCTTTTTGCTAATCATCCCCTTTTTTGCTAGCACCAACGCTATTTAATCAAAATCAAATAGAAAGTCATTCTATATCTCGTCTGATTTGTTAATTTTCGTAGTTGGGTGGAATGGATGAATGGATGAGGAAACAATAAAACTACTGGGTTATGGGCATACCACAACCAACGCACAGTAATCACTTTGTCTAATCTAATTCATCACACACTCGCCCGTTCAAACTTTAACTAAATATTTGTATTCACTTTCAAATTCTGACCCATGCCCCCTATTGCTCAACCACCAGGTTCTCCCTCAAATTTGCCTCTTCATTATAGAACATTCCTCTCCCTACAGAATCGACACGTCCCTGGGCGGCTTGGTCTACTCCAACCAGTTCCTGCAGTTCGCCACCAAGCTGCCGGCCAACAGCGAGCTCTACGGCTTCGGCGAGCACGAGCACCACTCGCTGCGCCACAACATGAACTGGCAGACCATGGGCATGTACTCCCGAGACCAGCCACCAACGGTATTGGCTGCAATCCCCGTGGGAATTGCTCACTCGAAAATTAAAGTAGCCCGATCATTGTAAAAGCTATCTATTTGAAATAATGAGACCGCAGCGAATTATACTGAGCCCTTGTGCAAACAGATTTACTTGTATCTGTCATCACTGACAGACTCATATTTCATAATTATGCGATGAAACCGAGGTTATCAGCCCTGACTCATTTCCTCCTCTTTTTATAGACCAACGGCAACCTTTACGGTGTGCATCCATTCTATATGGTGATCGAGGAAGATTTTAACACACACGGCGTATTGATTTTGAACAGCAACGCTCAAGGTGGGTCTACAGAATTATGACTGTCTGGCCTAATGATGAGCATTGTGTCCCGATTAACTAAATTTGCAAATTTGTTTTCCCTTGAAACAAAGCCAAGAGAGCGCCCCCTAGTGTCGAATAATATTCCTCCCAGGAATCTCGAAAGTACAAATTACGGTATCCCACAGCAAAACCTGCATCTCCAACTTCTGTTTAAAAAATGTTGCCACGCTGTAAAATGACCATTATTTACTCTGCGCTTTTCCTGCCACTTTCCCCACATCTTCATGTACAGACGTGACATTGTCGCCTGCTCCCTATTTGGTTTACCGCACTATTGGTGGCGTGTTGGACTTCTACGTCTTCTTGGGACCCACACCAGAAAATGTTGTGCAACAATACACAGAGGCAAGTTTACGTTTTGCTCGTTTTATCTTACACGAGTTTTGGATTACTCTGAAATGTTGTCTTCATTGACCTTTTTAACTTTGTTTCCCAGGCAATTGGGCGGCCCTTTATTCCACCTTACTGGTCGCTGGGTTTCCAACTGTGTCGCTATGGTTACAACAGCCTCGACGCCGTCAAAGAGACAGTGAATCGAATGCAGCGTTACAGCATACCGCACGTGAGTTTAAGAAGATGGGAGATGTGGATTTTGTTTGTTTTGCAAAAATAGTAAGAGTTGATGACTGTACAGCTTTTGAGGCCTTTTCGTAAAGCTTTTTCTATAAATTCCAGATTTAAGAAACGAAGCTGAGTACATGTTTGTTGAAGTCGGCACTTTTCGAAGTATCTGACATCGCTTCATTAGAAATCATACATCCACTGTATGTATCAAACATGTAAATTACTTCTGTTTAGTGTCATATTAACGCAGAAAGCTTCCCATGCATTCTGTCAGATTTCAAACCAGACCAGCCTAAAAACCTAGTATTTTGACCCGAACCAATAATATTAAGTCACTTCTTTTAATGAAAACTAAGAATCAACCCGACCCACAAATCAGTTTTGTGTGCGCAGCGTTCAGTGAACACTACCGGCCCAAATCACCCTTTCCCCCCATTACTCCTGATCGAGTCAGTTTACTGTCATTAATTTGTAACCATTTTTGCAGGATGTGCAATATGGTGACATAGACTACATGGACGAACAGCGAGATTTCACCTACGATACCGTCAGCTACAGCGGCCTACCCGAATACGTGCTGGAACTCAAGTCGCAAGGCATGCACTACATTATCATTCTGGTAAAGAAAGTTAGCTTTTCTATTCACCCGAACCGACTACCGAGCGCCGTCAGCACACTGGACTTTTACAACAAAATGCCAAAGTTGGAGACGTGCTGGTAATACATTATAATAAGTACTTTTTTTTCAAACAGATTGAGCAGCATTGTGTAGTGCCGTGGGCATGAAACAAGCTGGTGTACGTGAAATAGGGGATAAAGGAAAAAGTTCAGTTGTTGGATGACACCCTCTTTTAATTTCATTTCATTTTTCGTTGGAAAAGATCAGCAATGGTTTAAAAAAAATAAATTTCCTTCACGTAAAATGTTAAGCGCTAACAATTGTTTTATTTAATAGAAAATACGCTAACGGATATTATCGTTATTGGAAAGCGCAAAGGTTTATGGTTACCGTAATATATTACTGCCACGTTTCGTATAGTGGCATATTTATGTACAAGCCTCGTAAATTAACGGCAGCGAGTAGTCGGAGTGGGTGTTGAAGTTCAGTCGTATTTATTAAACAGTGCCTTTTTTGGCTAATACAATGTTCATGTGAAGAAGAAGTTTTGTGGCAGAGTTTGAAAAAAATATCTGTATGCCAAATCATGAACAGGATCCGTGCATTGGGAACGACCTCCCACCCGGCCAATATGGAGCCTACGACTCAGGCAACGCTAAAAATGTATGGATTACTGAAAGCGACTGCATCACACCAGCTGTTGGAAAGGTATTTAATCGAATGTTTGAATGAAAATATTACCCTGCTTAGAACATTCAGTTAAAACGGCTAACTATCGAATTTACTTATTTTACATATTTTTAAATACATATTTTCTAAAGGTGTGGCCTCCAGAGAATTCTGTCTTCCCTGATTATACCAACCCAGCCACGGGCGATTGGTGGAAGGACGAGTGTGTCAAGTTTCACAACGTCATCGAATACGACGGTCTGTGGATCGTGAGTTGGCTCTGCATAGTGTTTGATGGTCAAATTTTTTTACCAATTTACAGTTTGCATTCGGCCTTTCAACTGTAATTTTCATGAATTTGCAAGCATAGGCCCCCTAATGATTTTTACTGCAAAAACTTTCTTTTACTGCAAAAATCTGTCAACTCAGCATTTACGTAGAGTCCGTTCTAGACCTCTTCCCCTCATCTAATGTAGCGTGTATAGGAGGGATATAATAGGTCACGTCTCAAACCCTATAGGATTTCGGTTGATGTAATCTGCTGCTGGACATAGGGCTAATCATCGGATACCAAAATAACTTAGCTATTGATGGTGTTTTGCTTCTCGAGGATATGAACGAACCTGCTAACTTTGTAACTGGCTCAGTGACGGGATGCACAAACAACAAATGGAACAACCCTCCCTACCTGCCAAGTAAGTATTCGAATCCAATCCAGATATTGTCCATTGTAATCCATTTCTACATTTCATTCCAAAATGACGCATTTCGTGCTTTGTACTGTATTTCTCCACTCCCCTATGCAGAGATATTCGGAAACGTGCTAGCTGACAAGAGTATGTGCCCTGACGCATGTCAGCATTTAGGAAAGCACTACGACTTGCACAACTTGTTTGGCTGGAGCCAGTCTATACAGACAGTACCGTAAGAACTGAGTGGGGATCAGAGTAACTGAATCGGGAAAGGGTCTAAACCAGACAAACGTTCCATAGGTTGCATTATAGAGGAAGATTGTATTAAAAACCGGTTGATTCCCTGTTTGGATAAAAAGATTCATCAACTTTATTTATTTGGAGGGTTTACATTATACATGTATTTAAAGAATACAACGCTCCCTCCAGTCAGTATATGATGCTCCTGCTCCGTTCATATGCGTATATTGTATTTATGAACAACATTTATTCCATCAACCCTATTTTTCAATACACGTATAGTACATGCGTTATTATAGCCAAAGGGTCAATGGAGGCCTTGACCCCAAAAGATGCCCTTTTTTGAAAATAAACGTGATAAGGAAGGGCAGTTCCGGAGACTCCTTCCTTTTCCTCCTAAGTACCTACCTTTGCCCCAGGACGGCCATACAAATTCCTTTCACAAAAATCTACCTTTTTTCCCCCCTTCCCCCGACATACATTTACCCTTTAAAATTTGGTTCTGGATCCGCCCTTGAATATCTGTATAATGTATATACACTGGAAAAAAACACAAGGAGTATAAGGATTCTCGTTTAACCGATTAACTCTCCACCACAGCGCAGCCCGAGCAGCAACGGCCAATAGGAGCATCGTCATTAGTCGGTCCACGTTCCCAGGTAGTGGCAAGTACTCGGGACACTGGCTGGGGGACAATTACAGTCAGTGGAGTAACCTGCACTATTCCATCATCGGTAAGGTCGGCAGACGGTCCCATGCAGCGCTTTCACTTGGCATGAATCCTCGTATTTTTGACACCATAATCTAAACAGAGTGATACGTCCATGTTGGTGTTTTGTTCATGAATTCTGTTCAGGAATACATAAAATAGCACTTTGGAATTTAGCAAATTAATTAATTACTAATTTTCCCTGAACGTACGCAAAAGCCTCACGAAATTGCAGCATCCACGCGAGGGATCTGAGTTCACTTGTTAGTGTTGTATCTGTTATATCTGCCTGCCTCCGAGGGCCTTTGTCGCCAGATAGACAGCAGGTCAGTCATTTTGGCTAAGTTGAGTTCGAATAACCTAGCCTTAGCCGAGAGAAACACACGTGTGTATGAGAAATGGCCGCAACTGCCTATACGGCTGCCTTCCATTCGCAGCCACAACTTTTGGAAGCAGCCCTAACCATCTTATACGTTTCCCGCACAGGTTCGCTGGAATTCAACATGTTCGGCATTCCATACGTAAGTATATCCATCTGTCAGTGTTGTAGTCGAGACTGGATAGTCCGAGACCGAGACCAAGACCGAGACCTGAAGTTGCGAGACCGAGACCGAGGCTGTTTTCCAATACTCGACTTGGGCCTCGTGTCAGGCTTCAACTGTTTTTTTTTAACTCCTGACTTTGAGGTTGTAAGCGCAATAGTAAGTCTGATAGTGCCACAAAACATCAACTAAGATGCCAAAAGCCACACATTAAAGTACTTAAATTTAAGTTAAACGTTTCAGGCCCGCAATCGGGGATTTGATTTCCTACACGAAGCCTCAGACGGAGACGAAGTTGAGTATTGGAAAATGGCTCGAGACCGAGACCAACCCCTTCAAAGTGGACCGAGACCGAGATGGTCCGAGACCGAGACCAAGGAAAATAACAACAATACTAGAAATAAACAAACGAGACACAAAATTACAAACGAACCACGAAATGTAACGATTCGTTAACAGGGTTGACAACATGATCTGAGGGCTAACAAGTGTTCGAACTATCAACTGTACCGAAAAAAGTGAACGAAATAAACACGTTTTATCTACCTTACTGAAGAATACACAAACATGACAGAGTAAAGTAAAGTAATCGATCGTATGCTACATATTGCCGGTCTGGAATCAAGACCAGCCACATTATCGAGACCATATATTGTGGATCGAGGCCGAGACAGCAGCTCCCAAGACCGAGACCAGCAAAAAGTGGTCTCGAGACCGGTCTCGAGACCTCCATCACTGCCCTCTGTTACTCAACCACATTTCGGACTGTTCCTAGAGCAAGTGCTGAGAACAAGTCACGACACACGAGCACATCTCTCTCATGTCTGGCTTAGATTGGGGCTGATATCTGTGGTTTCAATGGAAACTCCAATGACAAGATGTGCCAGCGTTGGATGCAGCTGGGGGCATTCTACACCTTTTCTCGCAACCACAATGGACTTGGATACACGGTGAGATTATAAGTTCAAAGATTATCGGCACAAAGTTAAAACTGGATTGATTTTCAAATGTCATTACGAATTTCATAAATTCCCAAATCATCATAACCGAACAGAATAAAACAGATAATATAAAAAAAAAAGTCAACATGCCTTACCATGCTTTATTTTTTCATCAGGAACAAGATCCGGCCGCCTTTGGAGACGAGGTTGCACGGGTCAGCCGCGAGATCCTTGAAGTCCGCTATACTCTTCTACCGTACCTGTACACTCTCTTCTACGAGGCACACGCCTTGGGGTCGACAGTGATGCGGCCACTTATGCACGAGTATAATATCAAGAAGTTTTCTATTATTTTCTATACAGTGTTACGGAAGCAGTTCAGGCGATGAAAACGTGCCGGCATTAAGCCCTATATAATGAGATTGACGGATACTGCCAGAGGAAATAGTCAGAGTCTAGATGCCTTGACTTCACAAATTCCCCATTTCGTTTCAATTGCCCCTTCAAAAAGTTTCCCATCGGATGACGTATTCTTTCTGGATAGGCAGGAACAAAACTGCAAATTCCAATATCGTAGACTGAAAATATCACACATTCCTCTTCGGCAAAAAAGTCTTGTTAACGTTAACTCTGAAACTTTCTGAGTGAAAAAATAAAAACAAAGAAAATTCAAAACCAAATACTTAGACTACGCATGAAAAATGAATCACAATTTAATGTTGCGCTCTGAGAGGATATAAATCAAGAAATGTAAAGACGAATGTGTACTCTGCGTTAAACATTCAAAGGATATAGCGGTACACGTGCCTTTGCTTTTGCGCCAAGTATAATGAATTTGGCTGTAACTTTCCTACGTTTCCTTCATCACAATTAAGATTCGTGAGTGATGAAGAGACGCACGGGATTGACAGGCAGTTCCTATGGGGTCCAGCCCTACTGATCACACCTGTCTTGGATGAGGTAGGCAATCGGTTACCTATATGCTGTGTACACTTGGTATTTGGGCCTATGAGGACCGTGATGATCTGCAGGAGGTTCGCATTAATTTCATTGGATGAAATTTTATGCGGCCTAAATTCTGTCAAACTTAAATACTTGCTGGTCGATAAGTAGTTTATTTTTTTTCAGGGATTTGTCACGGTTGAAGGTTACTTCCCCGATTGTCGTTGGTACGACTACTACACGGTAAATAAATATTTTCATGACACATTTTGAAAATCCGTTCATTGAATAATGCAAGGCGTCTGTATTAATGCATTTCTGATAATACAAACACAAACCACATGTTTTCTTTAAAAACAGGTGAACCTTTTTTCTTTACTGAAATTATTCCTCACTAAAGCAGAGTCACAGTTCAGCTAGGAAGTCGTCTAGTTTTTTCAAGCTCAGGGGGGGCCTAGACACCATTCATTCACCTGTACTTGTTTGTCTTTAGGGTGCCGAGATGGCATCCTCATCACGTGGTACCTACGTCACTCTGTCTGCTCCCATGGATTACATTCCTTTACACGTGAGGGGTGGTTATATCATGGCGACACAAGAACCAGATGTCAACACTGTCAAGAGGTATAGGCCTAGCTGTATCATTCCCTACATGTCTACTTTTATACGGCGGAAATCAAACTATCAATTTTGAAGAAAAGCTCTCCTGCCATGATATCATATTGATTCAATTCTATGGCACACCCTTTAATAAAACGGTAACTGATTTCAGTATAATTTCCGTTTCAAAAGTTTAGGACTTTGAACCTGAAGTGACTTCTTGATTTTTTTTCAGCCGAACCAAACCCATGGGTCTAATCGTGGCACTTGATGATAACAGCGAAGCACATGGAACACTGTTCTGGGACGACGGAGATTCGATTGGTGAGGAAAACGTTGAACCAAACTCATGGAATTGTTAAGCACTGTCCACGGATTATTTATTGATTATTCATTCATAAGAATAAGAATTCCGATTGGTTCTTGGTTTAATTATTTTTAAGGCATTCTTCTAATTATCCAACCATCATTTGCTTAAACTGAAAATGTTTTGTTTTGTTTATTTCAGACACCTACGAAAAAGGGGAATACTTCTTCGCTGAATTCACCACCACCATTGTAAGATGGGACAACTGTTAACTTCATTCTTGATCTACGAATATCCAGCGTTTTCAAGTTGATTAATAACATACCTATACAACTCTCCGTTTCAGGACTGAACTCACAGTTATCACAGCACTTTCAGATGTATCTACTCGCTCACTCAACCCGCCCCCCAATAATTTAGCTTTCGTTCCTCCTCCTCAAAAAGTGAGCAAACTGTTTCGAGATTGTTTTACTCACCATCTCAATCTATCCATCAGTTTACTGACAACTTTGCATCGTCAAAGAGAGGTCCTGACACTTCTTTTCCTCCAACGGTTAAGTTTCTAGAATTCTGGTGCACACGATTTCACGAAATGTTATGTGCACAAGTCATACACTTAATCACCCGTGTGTGAGACCGTCCGGACGCGGCATCCGTGCCATGCAGTGAGTGAGACTGCATCTTCAATACAGCCTCTTCCCGCTGTTCTTATTATTTTCGCATTCCGGCTTTTGTAATACTGCACTCCTCCTCCAAACCTGACAGGGATCGTTGACCGGTACGATCAAGACTAACGGATACAGCGGGGTAAGCGGCCTCCTGTGGGGATCTGTTCGCCTCATGGGCGTGCCGTCTCCTGCTACCAGTGTCACCGTGAATGGATTGGCCCATACTGATTTCAGCTACAACAGTAGCACCAAGGTGAGGCACACGGCATATTAGCTTTCTGTTCAGCGAATTGGCGATAACAGATCTTCCAATACCACAAAGTTATGATACTTTTCAGAACAATTACAACAGTATAATTTGTTTCCCTCTACTCAGGAATGATTTTGTTTAACTTGCATTAACAGGAATTAAAGATCAACAATGCCGGTGTGACTGTCTTGATACCACTTTCCATCACTTGGAACTAAGATCACTCGCTACCGACTTCACCACCTGTCTTCGGATGCAATCTCATTGTCTAAAATTGCCTTTGCCTCATGCATGATTTTGATTAAATCTTGGGCGCCCTCTTATAATAATTTGAAATATATAATGCAACATTTCCATGCCAATGACGGAAGGTGCGTTACAAAGTCGACCTACGAATAAGGAAATTTAAAAGATTAAAAAGATTATTCATTCATTATACCAACTGCTCAATAGAGCATCAATCTACCTTACACGGTGACGCTAAAAATAAGAACCAGGCAAATATTGCATCGTTTAACCAGTGTTACATTAAAAAGAAACAAAATTATTTTACATTATTTACATTAAAAATTGCAAATCTCTGTTCACTACGGAAATGCAAATGCCCAGTTGCCAAGTGCGGGAAACATTTTAACCCAAGGATAATTCCAAAAGGGGCCGTTGTCGCTGACCTGGATTCTATCTTGACCGTAACAAGATCCAGTATAGAAGTATTGTGGAGCAAGACCACGAATGGCTTTAAATGTCAATAAAATGAGTTCAGATTCAATCCTGTATAAAACAAGCAACCAGTGCAGTTGATGTAATGTTGGTGATTTGTGTTCGAACTGCTTTTTAGGGTGGTTCCTTACCCTGGGCCCCTTGTGTCGTTGGCAAACCGTACAATAAAAATTGAACGTTACAGTAGTCCAGACAGCTGGTCATAAATGCGCCACAACACTGAAAGAGAATTGTGAGAAAGGTGTATAATGATGTGAGAAGAACGTCTGAAAAGACACTTAAAACCCGCATGAACTAATTCACTGGTTTGTTACTGTGTCGGTGGTTCATTGATTGTGGACACTTACCAAGCAGTGCTAAGCCTTGGATAGCTCCACCCTTGGCCTTGACTATCAAGATTAATAGATCGCCCAATGTTTGAAGTCGCACAAATTGATTATCAAAAAGTCAAAATCTAATAAACGATGGTCCAGTAGGCGTAATCAATGTAGGCCTATTATTATTTATTCTAGAGCAATGGCTAGTCAACTTCAGCATTGTACAATAAGCCAATAGAGGGCGCTCGTACCCAGAATAGAGCTTTTACATGATGCTGTCGCGAAACTCAATTACATCACTACGTCCGTCGTGCAGACCATCAAATCATATTTATCCAGGCTGTTTGGATCATACTATAATTTGGTATTCTAATCCCATACACGTCCTGTTTCGTAAAAGCGCACTTCAGTCAATTCATCGTTGATCAACTATCACTGGCCGAACGGATTTTGTTTAAAAACGGGAGGCTAACGCGAGAAAACTTCAATACCATTGCCTTACATGTGTCATGTTTTGTCGTATCGACCGAGCGACCGAGAGGGGGTGAGTGGGTAGTGGTGGTGGGGGGTGGGGGTATGGATTCTGCATGGAAGCAAGTACTCTGTATTCCTCTACGAGGTGTTTTTCAAAGGTTACAAACACCAGCCGAGTAGACAACTTTCCTTCTAGTGAGTTGTAACGCTCTTATGTTTAAGTTACAATCGTGTACATGTATAATATGTCGGTATGGTTGCCAGTGGGCACACTGGCGGGGGCATCTTTAAAATCCCTCATGGGTATTAGGCATAATATTTGATTAGTTCGGGAAAACATAACGATAGATAAATTTTTACATAAGCAACTCGCCGAGAACGTTGAGCATACCTGGCGGGATGTATCAAACGTAAAAGTGGTTTACAATAATTATCACGTTGACTTTTGCAGAAGGAAAGCCAGAAGGCAAGGGAAAAAAGGAGGAAAGCGGCTTTCGATTTTGATGTTGATGGCAAAGTTCGAAATAATTTATATACGCTTCATTTATTGACTTTGAAAGGGACCTTGACAAATCCGGGGCAAACGGTTGGTGGAGGTGTAGAGAATTTTGTGAACAGCGAACCCAAGATTTCACAAAACAATCACTTCATTCGTGTATGATAGTTTGTTAAATGATTTTAGCGTGATAAATAAGTAAAAAAATGCATATTTTGGACGATGGTTTTGTTTGTTTATCTACATAAAACGCCAATCATTGATAAGGTGATCAAAAAAATTGACTGGGTTCTTCTGAGGTGATAGGATAACTCAGATGGAATTTCAGGCTATTCGTGGTGAAAGACAGCAATGCGGGGAAAGGCTTGTGGTAGCACCATGCGAAGGAATATATCTCTCATGAGTATTTGTGGTTCTGGTTGTCTCCTGACGATGGACTGAGCACGCAGTCCGAACGTTGAGTATACTTCCGGTTCCGTTTTCAGAACCACACATACTCATAAGAGATATATTCCTTCGCATGGTGCTACCGCAAGCTTTTCCACCTATAACTTAGTTAATTGACTTTTTTTGCTGGAGCCTTGGTAGGAAGAACGGTGTTACCACCCGCAAGAAACCAGAGGCAACAATTCGGCTGCTTCAGAAAGACTTAGGCTTTTTAAAAATTTCCTTCCTCCCCAAAGATGTACAAATCTCTCAGATTCAGCCTCGAATTAAAGATCGTCTAATTGAAAACGAAGAGGAAGAAGAAGTAGAAGAAACTGCTAAAAAAAAACTGAAAAAGACCAAAACAATAAATTTCGACCCCTCTCCCGAAACATTTGTTTGTGGAATCCGTCCTTTTACGATTTACGACAGGCCTCAGGCTATTATGGGAATGATGGATTTGGGCCGTGTGCCCTTGTTTGCGAAACTAGGCGTCATGTGACCACTCGGATTCATTGAATAAGCGTATTCTCACTTGATAACCCCTCAATATTTGTGATCAGTTGTATGTGTTAGGTATCAAATGACTGATGTTTAGTATTTCGTGACATAATATTTATTATGTACATTTTAATGTCCAAGATTTTGTACTGGCAACCGGCCGGCCGACCGGTCATGGTTTGCACTTGTTGGCAAAAATTACGATTTTAGCTAGCAAAGGTCTATTTTTAAATAGCCCGCCCTCTGTTGGGCATTATCATATACCCCATAATGCACCATCTGCTCTCGCAATCCAACATGGCGACAGCGAGTTGAGGAAAAACGTAGCAATACAAGCCTGGAATAGAAGCTGATTTTTCTACCGCAACTTGCGGCATTTTCATTCTAAACATAACCGCAAAGAGGAACGAGCGCTGAGGAATTAAACGTGATCCCCTTCTCCTCCCAAAGTGTATTGATTTGGCAGGGGAGGGGAAATCATGGCGGTTGTGTTTGAGCAAGGAGGCCGTTTGCAGGAGTTTCTGCATGGGCGTGAATCGGCAGGTTTAGTTTTTCATCAGTTGTTCGCACAGCAGGAAGAGCCAAAAGAGTAAGAAGATTAGACTTCACCCACTCCTTTCCATGTATTGATATTGGAGAAATTAAAGATTATTTATTGTGCAACTGAAGTGTTTCTTATGTTATGATACTGTAGTATTAGTACTACTACTACTAGCAGGAAAACCAGATCAAATGTTTAGCCTAGGCCTAGCCCAGGTGGACTCCCTGATTGTAGGCCTATTACGTTACGGAGGGAGTCTGGGGTATAAAGGGTGCAAAATGGGGCGAAACTTTTGTAACTAAAATTTGCAACACTTCTACCTTTTCCAAGGAGCCAATTTCACGCCTGTAACTCCTATGCCCCCTTAGCCACATTTGGTGGGTGAAGAAATTCGACACATCACCACTAAAGAAAAGAACGGGAAAATGAAGTTTGACATAACGTTAATTCTTGCCATTGCTGTAGACTGTTTTCAGCCATTCTATAATGCAGTTCGTAGAGTGTGCGCGCGCAACTATTCGGCGTACGAGATTTCGAGCCACGTACACACACATCGAAACTACATGTTCTGACTGGAACCAGCGAAACTGAAGTCTAAACGAATCCACTGGTTTTGAAAATGCTCACTTTACAACAGCATGGTGGTTCTCAGCCACGAGTACCATTGATCTCCATGCTGAGTACACACAACCTCAGTCTGGGAGCGAGGCTGTGGCGTGCCTAGTTACCTGCACGCAAGCTGAGTCTACTACAGCCAGTACGGGAAAGTTAAACTTCACGAATTATACAAATCCTGGCCATTTTTGAGCATGTATTATGTGTTAACAGGTGGATTTAAAATAGGCAGACAAAAGGTGTCCACAAAATTCGATAGAAGTTAAGGGACCCGGCAGTTCCGTGTAGTGGGGAGAGGGTATTATCCAGAAAGGTTTTGGCATATTTCTGTTGCTAGTAATTTAATAATATCTGTTGATTTGTTCCATTTTAAAAGTTATACTGAATACATTTTTTTAGAGATGGAGAACTTTTCCAGAAAGAGCTGGCTAGATAAATATTTTTTAATAAACTAGACTGATATGAGAGTCAAAAACAGCGATTAACAATCATGATCTCTTGGGCCTGAATTTAAAAGCGAAAAATCACTTAGGCCTTCTTTGAGGTTTAAAAACTTTGACACGGTCTACCTATCTGTCCATTGTCCTAAAATCCAAGTCGTCACTGCTAAAGTTACCAATTAGTCTGCTTATTGTATGTTTAGTTTACGAATAGAAAAGGAAAGGCAATCAACAGCACGGTTTGTGCATGATCGCTACTTACCGCATGTGCACGCGTCAGTACTACCTCTGCATACTGTTTTCCTGATCAGTTTTGCATTTCTCTCGCCTGTTCATCACGATCATTATGCCCAATGCAATGTAATCCCCTTTTTCTTCTTCAGTTATCAAGATAAGTTACTGTTTCATTTTAATAAAAATCGGATCTCTACAATATTGTGTATTTATACATCTTTAACCAAGAAAACTCTTCGAACAAATTAAACACGTTAATTAAACACTTCAAAGAGAGATCGTTGATGAACTTCTTCCCATACAACTACAAGAACCCTGCATATACAAAGCCTTCTACACTAACTTTTCTTATCAGAATAAGCAGGTTGTGTCGCAAATTTATGTTCACAAACCGAAATTTAAAGCAGAACAAAATATGAACATTTTAGGGATAACCAATAGTGGATTCATTGGTCAGTCTGAAACCCCCGATCTGACACAAACATAACTGCATTTTTTATATTGGCTCGATGGCAGGCGGGTTAAAGCCTGGTACCAGTCACGGTCTCTGTGTAGCATGCAGGCGTGCAACAGACCTTTTCACTGGAAATCGAGCACGCATAGTGCGTACACGCAGCTTTGATCCCACGTGTGGGCACTTTACAACTCGAGAACGGATGAATTACGTCTACAAAAATAACATTGTCTCTCACTTATTTTCCTCAATTTTGCAGTCCATGGTTTGTTCTGAAATTCTTAAACCTCCCAGATGGATAGATAAGGCCACGAAGAACTTGTAAATGTGAAAAATTAGTTTCTTCAAAACGGTAACTCAAGAACAAATTAGAACCAATTTTGTGGTCGTTTTGTACGCAACTTTTATACCCTGGACGTCAGTCATAATAAAATGAAGACAACGTCCAACCTGGACGACCCTAGGCCTACCACTAGTGCAGTCATGTTGTTTTGTTAGTCATGTAGTAAGGCCATGAGGATGAACATTCCAGATTTCTGTCCGGACAATTTTGAAAACCCATGAGGCCTTTTTCCATTATTCATTAGTTGGTGTGCATACCGCACATCAATAGCGAGTACACGTCCATGCAAAGGCAACCAACCTTGAAAGTAGACAAATTCTCAGTCCATCTTGCATCATGTCATTTGTACACAAGTGCACTTCGGACTCCCTATTTATGTTGCAGCCATTTTTTATTAACCATTCTCGATGGGAAAAACAATGGTTTTTCTGAAATAATGACTTGTTGGAAAATAATGAAATTTTTGGGTGGCTATTTGTATTTCAGCGGTATGTGGGCAGTGGACTGAAATCCGGGATATTCATTCTCATGGCCAAAAAATCTAACCATCATGGCATTGATGGCCATTGACCTGTTCGGAGGTTGTTGCATTTATTATTGCACTCGCGTGTAGGCAACGTGCAACCTTCCATTCACTTTGTAGGCCCACAAGGATTTGCATGTTTTCCTCATTTTTTGGCTGCAACATGATCATGATGATTAAAAAAAACCCCTGCCCTTTGTGGTGTGCTGTGGGAGATATTCATCAGTCCATAGCGCATAAACAGTTAAATTTCAGGCACTTTTATTGGTTTAGCCAATAATTCAGACTCTCACCATAGACCAAAACATTACTTTTGTCACTTTGAGTCCCGAGTGTCAAATATGGAACAGTCACCAACTGACCAATCAGAGAAGAACCGAGACTCAGTGATGTCATCCCAACCCTGAGAATGCTTAACTGTAATTTGTGAATGTTGGCTTACTCTACTTCTAGCACTGTGGCATGCTAGGCAGGTCTGCATATTATTTGTCACATGTACACATGTACTTAATAGACTTGGGTGCTTAAATTTGACAAGCACTCTCACAGGCGTGATACAGGTGCTGGAAAACTAACAGTTTAAGTGGACAAATTTAAGCATTAAATTTGTGAATATTTATCTCTGTGAGCCAAGTAATATTGTTTTAAATTGTTGCTGGTATTGTGCATGTAATTTGGCTGTCAACTGGTCAGTGTCATGTTGCATCATAAGCCATTAGTGTTCATTGCTTTTATGGCTTTATTCTGGGAAGCCTCAGGTCAGTACAGTATACCTGTTCATCATTCATATAATTGGAGCTGTCTTAAGATTGAATGCTGCTTTTATCTTTTATTCGGTTTGTAAGTGACTTCGTCACAAAGGTGGACACGCCACAATTTGCAGGCACTTTGTCACAAAGGTGGACGTGCCACGATTTGTAGGCTCCCATTGGACAATCGCTGAAGTTGCACGTTAAACTCTGGTTTCATGGTTCCAAGTACATGTACATAAACAGCGATCAGTGCATATAACCCTATGTACAGTGTATGTACAGTGGGCGTGGTTTAAACTGAAGTGATGTCACACTTATGAACTGGATAGGGATAGGGAATAGATGGCCCAATGTGGAAACTGCTAAAATCTAGTGATAGTTGGATTGCCCAAAATGGGACTGAATACTTTCACATGTGCACCAATGCATTCCTGAGAGTTTCATCATTCATAACATCATGATTGTAAAGCTTACTGAAATTATAAATTTGTCCATGTACGGCATCTTGAAAAAACTGAAGTACATGTACATATACATGTATGTTCTGGCATATTCTGGCTAGCCTGCTGCCTTCTTGGTTTGATCTGGTGCCTCCGAATTTGAGACGTCATGTATTTGTTATTGTGTGGCATCATCATCACCTGTGGATGCCCTGACTCGTCACCCTCTGCTGTGCCAGATCAAGCTGAGAGACTGGCAAGATAGCAAGAATGGGAAGTAGAAAAAAAACCCAAAACAGCCAAAACAAAACAAAAATACATCAGAAAAACTGAGGTGAAAAAAGAGAAAAAACTCAACCAGGCAATTCAAGAATAAAATACCGGTACAAGTTTGTGAGTTGGAACTTGTAACTTTAATTAAATGCATGTTGTTGACTTGCTACATCGTTCAGTTGACTGTGGTATCTCCAAACATGTCTTTGTAATATTTGGCTGTGTCCGTATACTTCGTTATGGCTGCATATTTGTACAGCACACATACGGCATGCCCAGTGTCTACATGTAAGTGGCTGTGTACTTGTACAGGTAAACCACGTCAAATACATGTATGTTCAGTTCTCTTTCTCAACATGTCTGTTTTTTTTTTTACTTTTGAAAATTGGAATCATGAATGGTTGCTTGTCATTCAAAAAACAAAACCCCCCAAATGGAAACCATCTTGATAAACAAAAAAAAAAAGAAAAAAGAAAGAAAAACCCTCCTTGTTAAAAAAAAAACCCTGGACATGTACATGAACTGGTGTATTTTTGTTACCTGGCCGTGTTTAATTTTTGGATTGATTAGTAAAAACAAGCTGACCCAAATAAGCCAATTTTTTTTCTGCACATTTTATTTTCTGTGAGAAACAAGGTGATTTCACAGCATAATTAGTATGCTTAAAAATTGCACACACTGCAAGAGTCAGGAATAAACTTTTAAACTCAAAAACCTAATGAATATTTATTGCAACTTGAGAGGTTCCAATATTTTGTGTTGTAATTGGATAATAGTGAAGGAAAGTTACCAATATCTTTAGGGAGGGGGTAATGGGCAAAGTTTTATGTATTCAGTGTTTTTAATAATCTGCTTGTTTAAGAACTTCCCATCAATCTTTACCTTAGATTTAAACAGCATAAAAATGAGAAAAAGTAAAATGTTTTCCAGATTTTCATGTTAAGAAATAGAAAACTCATACCAACATGGAACCTACATGTACATTGTATTGGCCCATCCGTCCCACATCTTCCCAAATCCTCCTTGTGTAAGTAGAGGTACATGTATTTGAAAGATTGATGTAGCATGGCAAAGATGCCTTGCCAGTTTTGAAGGATGTATTGTGTCAAGTTCTTGGGCATTGTCTCCTATGGGAAAAAATGGAGAATAAAAAAGAAAAAAATTGGGAGGGGGGGAGGCAAAGAAATGAAAACAAAATGATGAAATGGGTTGAAAATAACCTTTTTTTTTTAAGCTGGTTAGTAGTTTGTTCCCATGTGGAAATCTCACCCCTGGAAATAAAGTGGTTTACTTCCTCCCCTGAAAAAAAAAATCTCGATGATGCCCTTGGTCCTGGGCAAGCCGGAGGGTTGTGCTCACTGCTCAGCCAAGCGTAAATATACACTTTGATTATACTAGAAATCATCTGCTCTCCTCCATGATACCATCCACAGTGCCTCAATGTGCAAACTCTTCCTGCCTACAGATACTGAAGGAATTAGACAGTGGCCACACTTCCAAGCAATATACATGTACACAGGAAAATGTTTATGAATTGAATCTAAGATGCACAGTTATGGTACATTCTACTCGGAGGCAGGTTCCGAATTTTTGCAGGACTGATGTTGTGTCAGAACAAAGAGGCTCCAAGAATATGCGTTGAGTAACCTTGGGAACATATGCACGACATGCACATATCCAAACTGATGTATAGATTTTGCAAGGATGGAATGGACCTCTGTAATGATGACACCAAACTTTGCTTACGTGGTGTGGTGTTCAGTGGGTGTACATGTAGGCCCCACTGGCCCCCACTGACTCTAGAAGAAAGTGCAAGTGTAAAAAAAGTACATTGTACATGTCAACAGCACATGTACATGTGGGCCTATTGATTTTTTTACACTTATGTGTATACTGGTATGTGTTTGCATTTATGGTACATGTATATGTTATATTTATTATCTGAATTCACTGTTGTAGTAGCTTGGTTTCAGAGTTTGAGAAGTAGTTAAGTAGTTTCTGGCTGAAACAGATCCAGTAAAACAGATGTCAGTCAGTTGGTCAATTCTGCGTATTTCATTGGCACATACTTGTGCGTGCGTGCGAAGTTGAAGCTTTCTTGTAACTGGTTTACACAAATTAATAAGGCACACATACATGTTCTGGCACAGCTGGTTTGCCAGGATGTGTACACGTAGTGAAATCCGTGTGCCACCAGGCTGGCAATCTTGTCAGATGTTTGTTTACAGAAGTAGGGAAGTAACAGTCACAAGTGTCATGCGCGAGGGTAATTCACATTGGCTCTTAACACCTGTTCTTGCTGTTTCTGAATCATGGGGTTTTCTCAGTCACTACAGTTCCCCGAGCAATTAGGCACACTATTCAAAGTTAAATTGTGTAGAAGTCAATGGTCTTGTCTGAGCAAACAGGTAAAGAGAATAATTGTGGCCAGTAAATGTACCTGTGTATCATGTTCATACTCATGTAGATGTAACATGTCAATATTCGCCAATACATGTGTCTGGTACATACATGATGTACATGTACATGTACACGGATGTGATTCTGTCACTGTTTCTGGCTGAAAATATCAACTGTGTCATTTACATGTAGTTCTTGGCCCCTAACCGCACCATTGCCTCTGTGTAAGGCATTATGCTGTCGGCGGAGAAGTGTAAAAGGGAAACGAGAGCATACTTGATTCGAAGATTGAACTAGCAGATACCGTCTGTACATAGGAAACTTCAATCAGAGTTCCCAATCGTAAAAATCTTGGCGGGGTCAGATGAAATTTCAGCTAGAAGCTTTTGCCTGAGCCAGAGAGCGTTGATAGCCTGTGGTGTTTTGTGGCACATTGTCGTGTGCTGGGCTTAATCAATTTCCTGAAGGAAGGAAACGGCTTGAATTTGGAGTCATTTGTCCAAGTAAAAGAAACAAAATACTGCTCGGGGTGCATTTGTATTCAAAGTATTTCTTACTGGTTTTTTTTTTGGGTTTTATACGTTTGTATGCAGAAGACTGGGATGAAGGAAGAGAACTGTTTTTACCAGACATACGTGTTGTATCTATTTATAACAACATTTTACAAACAGAACAAAATTGTATTGGATGTCATTTAATCAATTATTTTACCTCATTTGGAAAAAAACAAAACTGATCTCAACAAAACCATAGCCTCCTTTAGGGATGCAACTTTCAAGTAACCTACATGTAACTTTGTAAATTAAATATTAACCAAGCTCTCAACCAGAAGCTGATGCAAATGAGATTACAACAGCCGCAGTGACCAGCATTTTTATAATATGTCCCTTTGGATGCTTTTTCCAAACCCTGGTAAATCCAACCTCACCTGATTTGGGGTCAAATTCTGTAACATTGCATAATCAGACCAATAAGGCCATTTGTTCTCATTTCCAATGAATTTTGTAGGATTCAGTAGGATTTACAGTTTTCTGTTGTTGGATTCTATTAGATTCTGAAGGTTTAGTACTTTCTACTACAGTGGAACACCTCTGTAACGAACACGACCGGGTCCACGCTAAATGTTCGGTACAGCGGTTGTTCAGTGTAGCGAAATTTACTGCTGAACTTTTCGTTGCCATTTTGAATAGCGCCCTCTCTTGTCTAACTGAAGTGCACCCTCTTGTGATCCTATAATTTGCTGTTTTCTTGACGTTTTGCCATTGCATTCACGTTTAAGGATTCTAAAAATGTATCTGGTAATTATTTTGTTTTTTTCATTAAATCTTAAGTTACAAAATTGGTTGTACCTAGTTTTTCAGTTACGTAATTACAATTAACTCATCAACAACTGATGGCTTTTCCTTCTAATCCATGGTTAAATTATAGCCACTTGTCACTTTCCAACTTAAAAACGCGACCATTTTATCAAGCTGAGGTTTTGGAATTACAAACGGCAACTGCACAGTGTTCGGTAGGTTTTGTGCACAAAATTTTGTGAGCCAAGGACAATGTTCGGTACAACCGAATGTTCGGTATAGCGGTGTTCAGTATAGTGGCGTTCCACTGTATTGGATTCTTGTGGATTCAGTGGGCTTAACATTTTTTCTGTCTTGGGATTCTGTTGGATTGAGCAGGTGTTAAATATTCTGCCCTTGGAGTGTGTTGGCTTTACACTTTGTGCCACTGGATTCTGTTAGATTCTGTAGGATATAAAGGAAAATGGGTCAGGGATTTAAACAAGCAAGTAAAGTGAAAAGGATCTACAATAACTGAACTGGATTGCCTCCCAGAACAGTTGAAAGAGGGTTGAAAGCACTTAGATTAGAAGAGAAACCTCCGTCTTTGCCTTTTTACCAGTAAAGTTGTGTTGAGCCTATGATCTCGTGTTTCTTCCCACAGCTCATGAATGTGTTGTTATTGTTTCTTAATTTTTGCAGGAAAAAGCTGAGCCATGCTAAGAAGAACAAGAAGGATGGCGGGGAGAAGGCCAAAAGCCCAGACAAAACAAAGGTACAAGCTGCCATGCTGACACTGCACCCATAATTGTGGAAAGTTGGGCAACAACCTTGCTTGACTAAGGAGTGATGTCTTCAAGAAAACAGTTGTTAATCTGCTCTGATTTTTTTTTTTTTTTTTCATTTTTATTTTTCGTTTTTTTTTTCAGTGATTCCTTCTGTAAACTGGGTATCCCAATCAGCGCTGAAAAAAAAAAAAATCCCTGCTCTGGCAGAGCAGGGATTTTGAGTGTCAGTGGAGAAGTTCATCTCTCCTCTCAGCTGCATGTCAAACCTCAATGGGCATGAACTTGTGCTTTATGAAATTGAGTTTGCCAGTGGATTTATTACTGATGTTCCACATGCGTGATGAGTCAGTTGCGAGATTTTACAGTAAATTGCCAGAACTTTATCCGAATTCAGTATTCATCTAAGACTTTCTACACCCAGCTGTGTGCTGTCCTTTCTCGGTGGCAGGGGATTTTTGTAATTCATTTTATTTTCTTGAACTTTTGGAAATTCAGCACTGGATTTGTTCCAGTAGTGTTGTATGCTGTACAGGTAATACCAGGTAAAAGGACTCCACATAGGACGATATGATGAATCAATGGATGACCTATGATATTTAACTGTAACTATCCGTATATTACTCAAAAAGCTCTGAGTCATTGTCAGAACTGGGCGGGGACATGCATTGAATTTGCTCAAGGCAATATTAGCTGAAACCGTGGACAGAGCCCCTGAAGTCAGGGAGAAGGGTGTCATTTACATGTACGTTGTTCACCAAGTTTTTATCCTTGTCAAGAAAATATTAAAAGAATTTGGAATCATCCCAATGTGTATCTGTCAGGAGTTTCAAAGAAATTTGGCCAGCTGGCATGCACCTTTCATATCGTTACATGATAATAGTACATATGTACATGTAGTTACTTGGAAGAGACTCTCAAGAGCTGCATGATATTTAGTGCTATACTGTGCAGCTCGCACAGGTATACATGTACTGTACATGTATGTCAGTATTGACCAGCATACCCATATTTGCCATCGTTGTCGGGGTTAAAACGTCCAGCTACTGTCAGGGTTGAAACGTGCCAGATTGACTGGTACCTACGGTAGTTGACACCACTGCGAGCCCAGCAGCGAGTCCTTGTTGGCAGCCATCCTATTCTGGGCTGCATTGTACCCTGAGCATTTCCTTTCGCTGTGTTTGAGTGTGTCGTATCAACTTCCTGCACCTTCTCCTTGCCTGCTTGTCATGAAGGCCTGTGAGTAATTCAGGGGGAATTTTTGGACTGGTGCCGAAAAAGAAAACCCTGTTTGCATGTGAATAATGGCCTCCCGTCAGGGTCTGTTCTTGACAGTGAGTGATCTCTCTTGCTTTTTTGGGACTGCTACAACATTTAATGTCCTTGCGTATGTACATGTACCTGACTACACGTATTTTTTTTTTTGTACGGTACTTCAGGATTATGCATCATGAGTCAACCTCGTTCACTGGAAAGTGTAGGAGAAATTGTCCCTCTTGAAGGTTATGTACAGTTAAAAATTAGTGATTGATTGTCAAACCATTTGACACTCAAGGATGCGTTTTGCAGGGTACGGTACACGAACCTACCCTGGAGAATGGCTTTAGTTTTGGCTGTCTGCCCCTACTATTTAAAATGACAAGATGTCATTTGCATGCATGTGCATACAACTGCACATATAGCCTCTTTAGAATAGTTTGTGCGAGATTGGTACTGTACATGTATGTTTCCCATAGCAATGTTATCTTTTGGTTGACTTCAGGAGTGTTGCAATGCGATATTTGCCATAAAGACTTCCCGTGCCACACAGGCGGGTAAGGTACAGGTCAACTTTCAGGGACTCGCCACACTCGGTGTGTGTGCAAAACCAATGGGAAATGTTGCTGCCTGAGGGCCAACATGTTCAGCTTTGTCAGTATGCATTGATGCACTCTCTGTCTTACTGATTAGTTGAAGTGATTTGCTTCAGTTCCTAGTAACATATGAAGCAATTGATGTGGTATAACGATGCATAAATTTGGAATGCACATGTATAGCTGTGGTTCCGAAGAAAGGGAACACCCATGCAGTCGGCTGGTCGTTGTATGTAGGCTACCGGTACATGTAATCCTGTTGTGTCATTAGCTTTGTACGGGGCCACTAGAGGGTGCTGTTTGGCCCATGCAGACGGGCGAAGTGAGGCAGAGGCTGGTTGGAAAAAACATTGCCTGTGACCTGCGGATAGGAATAATGCAGGCATCCATGGGAAGTGGCTGCCACTGCTCACAAATGGCTTACACGTACATGTATGTGTAGCACAGGATTCATGTAGGTGTGCCCGCTATTTCCATCCACGGCTGAAACATTCTGACTTAGCTTTTGAGTGTTAGCGTAGAAAAGTGGCAAGTTAAGATATCTAAGAGGGCCTAAATATGCCTACATGTAGGCCTACTCAGTCATGTGGCTCAGTCATGTGGCTTGTCATACATGTACATGTACATTGTACCTGTACATACATGTACCTTGTGATATTTGTTTCTAGAATTTGAATGTGTGGAGTGGTGCTCTGCAGATACTCTTCAGAGGAAATCATTGCTGTTAAAGCACAAGCACATGTCTCCTGAGATGTACCGTACATTAACTCCAAGGGCCACTTGATATAATCTCACTTGCCTTCACTTCAAATACAGTGATCAAAACTTGCCATCAGTTATCCATGGAGATGAAGTTGTACAATTTGCGTCCTGGATGAGAGTTTTGTGAACACTTTTGTATACATGTGCGTTACCAACAATATTATTAAGATTCTTTGATTTAGTATACATGTAAGCTTAACATGTATATTTCTCCCAGCATCTTCTGTTTAGGTTTTCTGTGTGAAGAGGTTTGAGAGTTTCTTGCCTTCCTGAAATAAATGACACATTACTGGCACAGTCAAGCATCGCTACAGTTAGAAAACACACAACATCTAATGCAGTCCACAACCAACCAGGGCAAGTTTGAGCGGTGACTACAGTTGAACCATAGTTTGATCTGTGTCACTTGAATGCTGAATTATTTCGACCATCCAATTGACCATCTTTAACATGGTCACACCGCTGGTTATCAATAGCCGATGTATTTTTGTGAGGACAGAGGGAAATAATGAAAATAATTGTGCAAGATGCCACTGACCGTGGCAAACATGATTGACATTGAGATCTGACGAAATAGTTCAACTGTACATGTAGGGTTCTTGCCCTAGTGTGACTTTATTGCGTTTGTGCTTTGTTAAGGCTAGGCAGTTGACCAGAGATGGAACTACATGCATAGTTCATGCCAAACTTGTCCTGATTTGATTAACAATCTTTTCAAGTATTTCCATGTACAGTGGTTCCCAGTGTCTGTAATATTTGTGTAGTCTGCCCAACACGAGTCAGCTGTAACACTGCTCATTGTCCAAACAATTACAGGGAATGAAAGCAGGCTTGTTGGAGCCTTGTCAGACCACTGTAGGGCTTTTTCTTGTGGTTTGTTTTGTACAAACTTTGTTTTTGCTGATAGAGAGAAATTTAGGCTTAAGGAAATTCAAAGGTTCTTTTGCATGTACCATGAAATGCAATCTGGATACGTGTACATGTACCTGGCCTGTAGTAATGCTTTTTGATTTAAACTGTTTTTTTTTTCTGAAGGAGCAGACAGTAGTGTGTGGAAAAGGATGCGACTGCCACAAATGCAGATCTTTGAGTTACATGTGACAACTCTATCGTACATTGAGCCAGTGATGTTCCTCTGCAGAGCTACAGACAGTAGGCAGAAGTTGGCAGAAATTAACTCCAAATTCATCTGCCATGCAATTTGTTGTGGAGTAGACTCCTTGGCTGTTCATGGCCATGACGTACAATATTTGAACAGTAACCCTGATTTAATTAATGTGTAATTATTACAGGACTCTTCAAAACCAACCCCAAACCTTCAATACGGGTTACGATTTGCTTTTGAAGTCAGGAATAGAAATCAGAAATAAAAAATAAGGAACTTTCACATACATCCACACGTATGCTCTCTTTGGTTCAATTATTTGGGGATCATTCAGGATCCTAAAAAATTGTCTGTCCAGTAGAGCTGCCAGTCAGAGAAACTGGTAATTTGTCACTTGATTGAAGTTCATGTGTGTATGTCATGTACATGTGTATGTGGGCCAGGCATTTTAAAACAAGTCAAGAATGAGTCGTCAGACCGTACACAATTGATCAGCCACAGGGCTGCCAGCTGTCCTCGAATTGACTGTATGGTTTGAGGCATGAACGTACATGTACATAGTACAACCTGCAGAAATAATCTGTGTGTATGTACGCATATGCACAGGTGCCATGCATCCAAGGCATTTTATGGGCTTGTGTAACAGAGCATCAGAGTGATTCAGGCTGAATCACTCATGTTTGGAAGCTGGCCCCGTCTTGTGCGCAGTTGAGCGTGGCGGGGTGAGGGGAAGGGGCGAGAGAAGATAAGTCTCATTATTCAGCACCCAGGTGCAAGGACAACTCAAGGCATGTGTGCAAGGACAACTCCCTGTCATTGCTCAAACTCACGAGATATTCCTGCTCTCGGTCTCAGTGGGGTAATAGTATTAAGGAAGGGGTGGAGGGTTCATGCACGTGAAATTAAGTGGGGGGTTGGAGGGAAATTGTCGCCAATGTGGTTGGTTCCTTACTCAGAGGAGAAAAGGCTTTGGAGAAACCAGTGTCTCTGATTTTATGCCGTGTGAAAAGTGAAACTCGATGCCCTACTCAGGAGAATATGATTGGGGAAAATCAATGCATGATACAATTACCACACACTAACTTAGAATTGAAATCCAGTACCCCCCTTTTTTTATTTTGTTGTTTGGTGTGGATATGTAATGCATGTCTGTATGTGAAATGCTAATCTGCATTTTCAATAGTAATACGATACATGTGCATATCGTACTATCGCAATGCATCCAGGCTTGTGCGTGGGATAGTATTCTTGCCTTGGCTGGCGGTGTGATTGAGATGTTTGATTAATAAGGTGTCTGTAGACACAAGACGCTGTCCTTGTGTTATTCTTACCACTGCTTGTCAAGAAGATCCCATGTTAGAAGACAAATGTACACGGTTGCATACGTGAACATTTACCGGTATGTATACATGTACATGTCTGAGGTAAAATATTGAATAAAATTTTCTGAGCAAGAATTGCTCTGTACATGAGGCTAACAAGGGACTTCAGTATTTTGTTTACTTTGTTTTGGGAACACATTAGAGGTTTATTTTGGTTTATTTTTTACCCACACTAAGTTTCCTCTTGATTTAAAGTATAGACAAATGACTGTACTGCCATGGTACATACTGGTACATACATGTACGCATGTTGGTGCACATGTACCATAAATGTGTATGCTCGTGTACAGTAATTAACCATTGAATTTTAATTTTCCCGGCCAAAATGCTCACTGGTACGTGTAATTAAATTGATGGCTCTTCTAGCTTGCACATGTGCTGTAGCCCAAAGGCCCGAATAAAACCTGGGCAGAAGAGGTAAAAGAAGAACTTTCCAGTTGTAGAGGTGGGAGGAAAATTATGGAGTACACGAAGTAAGGTATTCCAGGAAAGAATCCACAGAATCGGTTACATGAACCCAAACTGCATTGGTGGGATTCGAGCCCTGGGTCACAGAGATGGAAGGTGAAGAAAGTACATTTACATGCCTCAGCCAGCAAACCTGGCTTCCTTTCAAGTTGAGGGTAACCCAGGACCTACCAGTACATTGTGTCATCTCTCAAACAAAACCTTGAATGCATCTTTGACCAAGGTTTGGGTTGCACCAGGACTTGTTATTAACCTGTGTCTGTCACATACATGTACATGTGTACATGTATGTGTATCTGTAATCATATTCAGAATACATGCTTGTCATCACTGATATTCACGAATTCCACCAGGGAACTTAAAAGGAACATGGGAAAAAATCTTTAGAAAAGATCAACCAACAGAGAGTACATGTATGCATTCAACAGAGTTACCCGCACATGTACATGTTCATGGTTGTAAATACATGAACATGTGCATGATATACATGATATACATGTATCCCTGGTATGTTCATGTACATCAGCTGTACAGTACACAGCTTACCAGTTTCCTTTTCACTATCAGATTGGGGTAATTGACGATGGACTATTCACAAAGGACAAACGTGCACTCCGCCAACCCGCGCATACATGTACATGTATAATATACATGTACACATACTCAAAAATTATGTTTGTCCCCGGAAGCAGAATTATGAATGAACAGCCTGCACTGCCGCCGAATGAAAGGGAAGTTGCTTGCTCTGCCCTTGTTGCATGTAGGATGTGAGCTTGGTCGAGGGGAGGGGGGACCCAACCGCATCATCGATTTACTTCCACATCAGAGACTGACAGCCGCGGTGTGGAATGCTCTCTGTGTGCTATGGGGATGCCTCCTCGACCGCTGGATGAACCCAACCAGGCAGTGATGAGGATGGTTTATATTTCTGGTCACAAATATTGTCCCTTGCCCTAGAATAAATCTTTTTTGGAGGGGTGGCCATCAACAATTAAATTAAGTCCTGAATGTATTTTAAGGTAAATCAAAAATGCTAGGAAGCCTCAGGTTCCAGTATGTCAAATACATAAGTTAGAATTTATTGTGAAAGAAATTTAATGTTTAATGTCCAGATGGTTTTTGTACATGTGTGTACATTTCATTGCACATATTGGACAGAAACCAAGACTCTAAAGTCAGTGATGTCTTCCATTAATTTTCCCATCTTGTTTTGGATTTAAATTTTGCTAATTACGTGGGCAACCAAGTTCATCCTCAATGGGAATGCAATATGGCATTACTGGTGAAAAGCAGTCAGAATGACCCATGCTAATCTCTTCCTTTATCCCTGCAAAGATGTAATCCTTCCCCTCGGCGTAATATGCATTGACCCCCTCCGCGTCAGTGATCGGTACTGCACTGCAGTCCCTGTGCATGAATGTACACTTTTAAGGGACTGCCGGGGAAACCTGACTCATTCCACATTATGAAGCTTGACTACTGTACATTTTATCTTGGGCTAAACATCTCTAGAGTCTGTACCGTCCACCTGCTTCAGAGATTATGTGCTTGGTTTTCTAAGAACAAATCGCAGGTTGGAAAAAATGGTCAAATGAAAGCAATCTGTGCTTGAACAGAAGGAAATAGTCCCCAATGTATACTTGTATCAGGTCATTGCAATATTTGGTATTTATGTACCGTACATGTACTCTTGAGTATCCTTTTTCATACAATAGAAAGAGTGTAGTCATACATTCTTAATTTTTTTAAATTCATGCTGGCTACTTTGCAATTCAGACCCATTTCTGTCATTTTAAGTGTTCAAGAAGTCACTTCGAGAGCTAAGCCTTGGTTGGCGAAAACAAACAAAACAAGTTTTTTTTCTGAACAAATTATCCTCTGCATTTGACCATTTTCCACATTTCAGTTATAGAGGTATCCTATTTTCACAGACTGCATCGAAGATCCTCATATTAGAGGATTTTGTCAAATGAATCCAGACAACAGGTTGATCGACTTGCTGCACTGATGGGCAATTTGAGGAAAATCAAATTGCCAGCTTCTATTCAAAGTCATGATTTGAAATGGACTGCTTCCTTGAGTCCTAGAAGCTTCATGCTTTTAGCCCATGTCCATAAATCTTTCAAAGACGGGTCATACTTAGGCAAGCCCTAAAATTCCACGGAGCATGCCCCCCCCCAAATTGATTTTGTAAATAATCATAATGGTCAGGGACAGTGGTGGGAGTTTAACCCCAATCATCGGGCATCCATTAAGATTGGTACCAAAGTTTGTTTATTTTTCAAATCATGGCTTCGCCTCTGCTGTGGCCTCATCTTGAGTTCCACGGTTTTGAATGCAAATTATCTAAATAAAAGTTCTTCAAATATGGGCCTTGTATGCGACAATTGGCTTTTTTCTGTTTGATACTGCGCTGGCTGCGGCTTGAAATTACACATGACTCTGTGGGATGTGGCTGTAGTCACAGCCATGGACTGCGTAATTGCAAGCCACAGTCAGGTAAATGGGACACAGCCTAAACTCATGAAACTAAAGCCTGAAGTCAAAGTCAGAGGCAATAACCAGGATTTGGGGAAACTGCCAGTATGTTTGTCGAGTACTGTCATGGAATCAGCATCATGGAACCCCTCTGTTTTTACTTCATACAGGATGTCATGCCCCAGTTTTATATCAGTGCAAAGGACATTCCAAATATATATTTTGTTCCATCCTTAGAGATCATGCCTTTATTACAGTAGAAATATACATCAAATTAAAGTTTACTTTTTGTTTTAAACTCCATCCTACAGAAGGAGGTCAACCCAGACTCCATCCGCTTCCAGCCCCCCAACATCGAGCTGCAGGGCAACGCCTCGGCCTTCTGCATCTACGCCACAGTACGGGAGTACGTGCTGGAAAGAGACACCATGGAGCGGGAGTTGATCCTAATGAGGGCCAACTCGGCCACCGGAAAAGGAGAGGAGTCCGGCTGCGAGGGGGAGGAAGCGGCCAAGACGGAGGACACTCTCCGATTTCATGTACCCAAGGTAAGACAACCTTCAACCACTGCGGATTACCGTTTCTGCCAGAGGCTGTTTAACGGAACTCTACTGCAGAGAACTTGGGCAAGTTGTCACAAGGGATGCATGATGCTGGGGACAAAATTGAGGGTACCATGCATCCTCAAGGAATTTATAAAACACTGCACATAGCATACTAGTTAACATTGGTTTTGTTACATTGCACTGTTTGCAATGGATCAGAGGTTACCATAAACTGGTTTACTCTCACAACGTGTCATGTTGGACGTACAGGCCTTGTATGTAAGCAAGTGTGTCAAAGGATAATATATCAGTCTCTACCTTGTGTCCTTCTACCGGGAAGATTGTTGAGCAAACTTCAGCAAAGTCGTTCGTTTAAAAGGTCGCATGACGCTTATGTCTAGGGATCAACCGATGATCAGATCGGACATTGGATCAGGCTGATGTTTGGCAACATCTGCAAAACATTGGATGGGCAAAATTTGATCTTCCTTGCCGATATGGGTGCCGATGTTAACTTGAAGAAAGGAACGAACTCTGCACTCAGTTTTGGCAAATACAAATCTCATATTATGATATGAGCGTGAATAATACCAGTGTTTTTTCATTTGGTGAGATAAATGAATAGTTATACCGTTAAACCCACATAAAGTATCCCTGAAAATTACATCTGCACAATCTGTGCTGCAACCACTCAACGCACAGACTTCGCACCCAAGGAGCAGTCAGTGTACATGTTTACCATTTCCATTGACCCCCATGAAAAGAGGCAGGGAACTACACCTCGTGTGGCCAGTCTGAGGGAAGCCCTCGATTTAGCCTTTACTCAAGGCGTGCATGGCTACCTGGACACATGACGTGCGTCTCTGCCGTTGGCATGACGGAGACACCAACGTGAGTGGCGAAGCCTTGAGCCAAGCATGGTGCACCGGTGCCATGCTTGCCTTGACTAAAGGCAAGCCGTGATTCAGCCCGAGGTGCTATGTGTCTGTTCTGCATGTATGCACTGCTTGCGTTGGGTTTGAATACAACGGAGCACTATCGGTATCGTGTGAGCGGTGATGTGATGTACACAATAAGCCATTTGCGAGTTAAACTTGAATGAAATCTGGTACACTGAGTTATTTGATTGCACACAAAAGTAACAATTTTAATTTCCCAGACTAAAGACGCTGTTGCTATACCTGGTGATTCGGGGCAAGCTGTTGCCTAGTGACCACCATCTCTGGAATGGACTGGTTCCTTTGTGCCCTTCTTTTCTATTGAGAACAGTGTATTGGTGCAAGGCATCTTTTACGTAACTGAGCAAAAGTTTGCCCCAAATCACAAGGTATAGCAATAGTGTTTTTAGTATGGAGAATTCAATTTATTATGACCCTGTGAATTAAAAGAACTCTGAGTACCAGATTTTATTCAAAGGTCACTCGCAAAAGGCTTATTCTCTCACCTCAATGACAGTAAAGGCGAAAACCTAATCCTATTACCAGTAATGTGTAAACCGACATTTGAATTTTAAGGGAGTACACTGGTTTTTGCGTTGGTATGAACAGGCCCACATGTACTGGTACATGTACATTCCATTAAGGTTGCATTTTCAGTTATTGTTGGTAAAGCATCAGATCGGATCGGACATGGGCCAGTGTTCCGCTTAAAACATTGGACATTGGCAGTTAAAACCTACATGTACATCGGTTGATCCTTACTAAGTCCTTTTCCATGGAACAAATTCTGTCATGTGACTTACATGTATGTGCCCTTTTACCATGTGTCATTATGTCATAAATGTGCAATATTTCAACTTAATGTTGGGGGTATACTGAAGCAGAAACAAAATATTTTAAGTTGGAACAATACAAAAAATTGACCTTTGTGACCTAATTTTGCTCATATGCCCTTCTGCCAGGTACCCAACGATTTCATGTTTGAATCTGCATAGCTTAAAATGTTAACAATGAAGAAAAATTAATTTCAAACATCACACCCCACACTACAGTCTTTACTTCATCTGTCATCTTAATGAATGCAATACAATGTACACGTACCTGTAGGCAGTTCCTGTTACGTGCTTGACTGAGTTGGTAGATTACATCTACCGGCTGCTATAACCTTTGATGTCATTGCATTCTGTTGGATTTTTATGATTTATGAGGGCCTTGGGGAAACCCTAGCTCAGAAGAACTACCATTCATGGTCGTAAAGTAAACATGCACCTACGTTGCAAAAAGTGTAACAATGTTCCATCATGAGATTTGTCCCTCTGCCACTGAAAATAAGCCTGTGTTGTTTGTGCTCCTAATGTGCCCCCCCCGTGAAGTGCCAAGGAAAGCGTGTATTCAGAGGCCCACGCTTGTAGTTATAAACAAATCCCAACACAACTTAAATCTGCTCTTGTTGACCGCTGTTGTAGGTTGTCGGTATTGGGTTGCGTAGTGTGTTTGTCCTCATCAGGGATACCCACAGCTCTTACCCGGTTCTGTGTGCCCGTGCCCTGCAAGCCCTGTTGGATATGCTACAGGGGCAGACACCAGAGGGCCTTGCCAGGGAGCCCGATGACATGATTGGTAAGCAGTTGTTTTTTTTCTCAGTAGCATGTACTAGTGTTTTAGTTGAGACCAAGAAGCCGTAGACCAAAGTCTAGAGTTTAAAGACCAAGACACAGACCTGGAATCCTTAAATATCCCAGATGGAAACCACAGGGTGCCAAGACTGACATTGAAACAGGTCAAAAACTGATCTCAAGACCAGTCTCAAGACCTACATGTACAACACTGGCTCCTTGAACAAGTTTGTCACTCCCAAAATTATGGGGAGCTGCATGTAATGCTGACAATCCATCCCATTACCATCTGACATACGGTATGTATGCTGTGGCAGTGATCAAACTTGCTAGTGAGGGCTGTTTCCGTCTGTTCCTCGTGGATTATGATTAGCTAAGCTGGAAACAATCTGTGGTTGTTGCTTATTTGACATCATTTCCATAATTTCTTAAAACTGTACCAAAGTTGACTATATACAAAACATTCTCTCGCTTTTACATTTTATGGTGTCTAATTCATGTTATTATATGTAATAGCTTTTTTACGGATGCCCATTATACCAGAGCCCGATTTTTTTTACCTGTTGAGCAGAAAAGATTTCTTAGCACATTTAGGTGGTAAGTGAAGATCTTCCAGGTACGTGTACCACTTACAAGCAGCGTGTACTACATGACTTTTTTGGTGGTAAACTTGTTTGTGCTTGAGCACGAATCTTTTGTGCTTAACATGTCCATGTCGTTAGTGTGAATCACATGATCGAACCATGGGTAGCGTCTGAATCATTTAGCCACAGCCTGCATTAACACAAACGTCTGCAGGAAGCAGCTGCAGCTTCCAGGGGGACTCCAGTCATTTTCTGGCATACATACGGCAAAGTATTTAAATGTTGATGAAACTACAATCACAGGTCTGCTTGTTGTTTTGGCAGATTCCCTGTTTGAGCTGCTACTGGACCTGGCCATCGACCACCGGCAGGAGGTCCCTGAGACCCACGGCCTGCCCTCCATCTCCTCCCTGAGCTGTGCGTGCCTCCTCAGCCTCATCATCGCCAGCGGCAACACAGGCAAGATGTTGGCGGGCATAGCGGCCATCCTCATGAGCACAGGCAGGCCCTCCCAGCAAGCTTTCAAGGTGGGTGACAGGGGGACCAGCTCCATATTGTCATCGTTTTTCTGTCATATGCCCATGCTTTGTGGAAGCTGTAGTGTTTTACAGTCGTGAGTATGTATATGTATTTTTATATTTATGCAGTATTGCATTTATGTGCAATTTAAGCCTCTTGCTGTGTGACACGATGTTAATAAACCAGTTATTGAATTGAATGCTTAGTTGGGAAGTCTATTCTGTGATATGGTGTAAACTCCATTAAAACTCAGTGGTGTTGATGTGCAGTGTTTGACAGTGATGCACTCAAACTGGTCTAGGGGTCAGGCAGGTACCCTATCTTATGCATTGACTGCTCATTGTCTTTATTAGTACAGCGTGCTACTTTAAAGTCCAATATCCCTAACCTTCCCCAACCACACAGAATTAAACAGTAATAAAGTGTTTAATTCTGTGGGGATAGGTCTGGTAGGCCCAGACAGCTGGCTTTTGCATTGTGTTTGACATACCTCAGAAAAGTCCAACAGCCCCTGTGCACAAAGTCCCATTTGTGCACAGAGGCTGTGCCCCATTCACACAAAGTTAAAGTCCCATATTGGTGTTTAACTTTGTGTAAATGGGGAAGGTTAGGGCCAGCAACCCCTGGGCAGTTAGGGTTAAGGAAACTCTTGGCAATTTATAGTACTTATTGAGAGATGCTTATGTGTACTAGTACTTCTATCCATGGTTATATGTTATATGGTGGCCCAGATAAGACTTGCATTTACAAGATGGACAGCTACAGTCATTATGCTTTAAGTATATACACATATTTATGAGTTTGAGTCATGTCAACTTTAATTATCATTGATCAAATAATGGAAACTGCAGTTCATATTCAAGATGATAGTTTTGGACAAAATTAATTGTGTAATTTTTGGCACCAGTAGTTCTCTTTGAAAACTAGAGTTTTTTGACTAGTGGAGGTACATTGTAGTAATTTTCGTTGAAGAAGTTTAGTTCTGTGTCAAGGTTATTTTGTTTGGTTTTGTTTGCAGGTTCCTTCTATTCTGTCAAGTCTACAGCGTAGCGTACATGCTGTTCTACTTGGCAAAACGCACTTCCCTGATTGGTTAACATCTGGCATTCCCAACCAGTCACAGCTGGACTCATGGGAGGTGCAAAACATAGATATAGGTGAGTTGAAAGGATGAGTGTGTAAGGTGGTTTTGTGCAACGTATCAATACAAGCGCTATTAAGTGGATTGTGCTAGTTGAGAAACCAAAATACTGGGTGGTTGTAAATTTGACCCACTGTGAATCTGTGAATGTGCAGTGTTTGATTGGCACTGACTACCTTGGCAAGCAGCCAATCAGGTAGGCAGTTAGTCAGCCAGCCAGCCAGCCTGCCTGCCAGCTAGCTAACCGGTCAGCTAACCAGCCAAGACCTATAAAAGCAGCGCATATTTGAACTGCAGTTGCTGTGCAAACATTAAATGTGGTACTTAAACGGTACCCACATGCTTTTTTCTTTTCAGATGCATGCTGTGACAGTAACAGTGCAATAGCCAGCGATGGTTCTTACTTATACATACACACTAACACAGGCCTGTACAAGGCTGGCTCAGGATACTCAAGCACAATCAAGGTAAGGCAGTTCCTCTTGACTTTGATGCAGAATGGTACCATCCAGTGTCATTTAGTGAACTCTGTTAATACACAGCTGTATCTAATATTTCAAACACTTGAATAGAATATGTGGATGTTCGCCCCGGCACTGTTGAAATGTTATTAGGAAACACTGTCGGGACTTTCCTGGAGACGGTAAGAACAAATTGTTTGTCTAGTTTGCTTGGGCGGGATTGTGAAACTGGCCACCTTCTCCACACAGAGGTTCTGCCCATGAGATCACAAACCAATTTTAATGGCAAAATTGTAACAAGCATTATACATTTAGGCTTGCTTCTAGTGGTAAATGAATTGTATGAGAAAAGCCTTATTGTATCAGAAAACCCATCAAGGCCCGGGATATTAGAGACCATTAGAAATGGTGCATATGGGGGAGACGTTTTCAGCTGGGAAAGGTTGGGTCGTTATATTACTGTTTTGTGCACATTGATGTGAAATACACATTGCTTACAGTGCTAGCGTTAAAAGAACCACATGGAGGCATTTTTTAATTGCCCATTTTCTGAGCCACATACGTACCTAGCATGCATACCATCTCCGTTGGTATTTGATGGCTGACTCCGTGCTTCATCCAATTCAAGGGGCCCTCCAGCCTTGCAATTATCAAGTCCTGATTTGGGCTCTTACAGACCCTTACATTGTAGTTCTCACTCCCTAAATTTGGTCCTGTGCAACTTGAGCAGCGTCGCATACCGTTGAAGCGCAATATTTAACAGTCTCTTTTGGTCCTGTGTCGCAGGGTCATATTTACGCAGCCAACCGTGAGTTCCACCCCCACGAGCGAGGCTGGTTGGCAATAGCCAGAGGGCAGCTGCTGTACAAGAACGCCGCGCGGGATCACGGCGGGGCCGGGTGTACGGTGGTCGTAGTGGACGTCGACACCCTGAAGGAGATGGGGACCATTGAAATCCCCATCCTTGGTAGGTGGAATTTTTTTCATTTTTAAATATTTGTCTGGTGAGGTAGGAGTCCGAACAAAATGACCAAAGGTTGTAACATAATTCAAATGAAACAGATCAAAAGTGTAGAGTTTACATAAGCATACGCATCCAACTGTTTACTTCTGCATTAAGTCTTGATTTTTTTAATGAAAAGAAATATATTATAGAGTGGGAAGATTACAGAGTAATGGATGTGATTTCATATTCCATAACAGGTGGCACTTCAGCATCTCTTCTTTTCAGTGATAGCGAGAGCATTGGGTGTATGTCGGCTTTAAATGATGTAAGTCTTTTTAGCTTAACATTGTGTGTAAATGTACTTTCTAAAACCTGTCACAATATATATGTTTTGTTAGCATCTCTTCAGAAAACCAGAAGGAACTTTTGATTTATCTCAAGATGTGGTTTTAAATTTTTCTTTTTAATCTCAGGACTCCTTTGTGGTTCAAAGCTTCAACCCACAGACCTCACCCATGTTGAAGATCGGGGAGTTGCCCGTGAAACTGGCCCGGAAATCCCTCCTTGCGTATGGCCCATGGCCAGCCAGCAGCAACAAGGAACCTCACATGGAGAAACAAGAGATCGGTAATTAGTGGACATCTCTGGCCATTTAGGTTTGTTGGGGCATGGAGGCCTGTAAATGCCTGGAGGCATCTAAAGGCTCCAAAGACCCCTGAATGCCTGGAGGCATCTTTGGGTTTGGAAGCCTCTTAAAATTGAGAGACTGCTGAAGGCCTCTGAGGGTCACAAGACCTTTGAAGTGCCCTGGAGGCATCTTTAGGGTTTGGAAGCCTCTTAAAATTGAGAGACTGCTGAAGGCCCCTGAAGATCACAAGACCTCTGAAGTGCCCTGGAGGCATCTTTAGGGTTTGGAAGCCTCTTAAGATCTGGAGACTGCCGCAGACCTCTGTAGGCCGCAAGACCTCTGAAGGCCTAGTGGCTTCTAGAAGCCCGGATTTCTCTTAAGGCCTGTAGGTCTCTTTGGGTCCCAGAGGCATCTGAAGTATGTTTGGAAGTCAAGACAACCATGCCTGCTTGTTGTTTGACCGCAGCGCATGCTCTGTGCTGGCATGGTGTCTCAGCCCATGGCTATGCTTCCTATAGTAACCCTGGAGGTTTCTGAAATCATTACTAGAGATGTGGTGTTGGTTTTCGTTCCCCTCCAGACATCTCTGCTTCTGTTTTCATTGACCCAGTGCCCGAGATGTTCCAAATACTTTTCTGCCACTGTTGTTTTATCCTCCCAACAGAAACCGGAGGAAGCAGCGAGTGCATGTACATAGCGGCTGGCAAAGAGTTCTCGCTGATCAGAACCAACTCTGGAAAGGTATGCGCACAGTCATCTTTATTTTTGCCAGGATAAATGGTTGTTTGCTGTGATCCTGTATAGATGCAAGGGGCAAAGCCCTTCTGCTTTCGGAGTACTTTTGTCAGTCAGTTGAATTTACCCTCCTGATAATTTTTCTGTGCAAACCTTTACGGGATGCATTTAGTGTTGTAAATTCAGCGGCGTTGATTTTTCTTCCATCCATTGATTTGGTTGATATGGCAAATTTGCAAGAAAGTTTCATTATTCAGAGTAAGACAGACAAGTGCAGTGTCTGACTTTGCATTGCGTTCAGTGGCTTGCCTGTGTTCGCGCATTTGTGTTGACTGTACCAGCAGATCTTTGTGAACTCTGTGGAAGTTTCGTAATGCAAGAGGATGAAGAATATTAAGCATGATGTGATCTGTCAATTTTTCATCCTTGGCCTCGTAATTGAAACCATTAACAAGGCCAGACACAGGATTAGTCACAAGACCAGTAGCAAATGACGGTGAACAGTGAGTGGAATGAGTTCTGTGTAGTTCACTGGAATAGTTTCTAACTTGAAGTCAGAGTGGAGGCTCGTGACTAATAGTCTAGCTTGTGACTAATAGTCTTTAAGGGATGTTGACTGCAACATTGTCCTTGGTATTCGTTGGTGGAGTTCAGTTGAGATTGAACCTAAAAAAGCCACTCTTGTTGCAGGTGCTGTTCACGGGCAAAGCCCAGAGCTTGGGCATCAAGCAGCCCGGCCAGCCCAGCGCCAAGTGGTCAGAGCTGCCCATCACCAAGTCACCCAAGATAGTGCAGTGTAGTGTGGGGCACGACGGCTGCCATGCAGCCCTGCTAGGGGAGGACGGTAATGTCTACTTTGCTGGGACGGCCAGGAAGGGCGAGGACGGAGACCAAGGTACAGTGTCAACCAGAATTTGGTTGAATCCTCAATAAGGCAGTATTTATGTGACATTTTTGTTAAAACCAAACCTGTCTAGGCAGCAGGTCTCCACAGCAGGCGGTGGGCTCTAAATGTTAAAACTTAAATCTTCCCCTTGGCACTAATTGTTTAGCTTTTGAAAATGGAGATTCTTTGGTAAAATTGAGCCAGTTACAAGTTTTTAAGGACGTAGCCATTTTAAGGTCTGCCCTGAAGCCGTTGGAACATGTCACACATCGTGCCTGCTACAAGTTTTGGGATGTGTCAAAATCGTTATTGTGGTAACTGTCTTAGTGTAAATGGGTCTGTGAATTTGAAGTGGTTCAATATTGAATCTCTCTATTCACACTGCATTTAATGAATGGCACTTTTTGAGATAGGGCAAAGTATTTTTGAAGTTTGGAAAGCCACATTGAAACTTAACCCTCCCATGCAAAGACACATTCTTGAACCAGTTGTCCTATCAGTCAAAACCAGTCAAATTTCCCATATGTGTCTGTGTACTGGGGGGAATCAAGTAAAAGGAACTTTTGACTGTTTTTGACGGTTTATAGCAAAAGGAGGGTGAATACCACAACACTGTAGTTAACCAAGTCTCTGGAGGCTGGTTGACTTGATCAGTTGGAAATGTCCAGGAAAACTTAGAAACTTTGACAGGAGAAACACTGTTGAACTGGTTACTTTCAGTGAAGGGACGTCGACAGCTCAAGCCGTCCAAACCCAAGAAGATGCTTAAGATGGATGGCAAGACGGCGGTATACGTGGCCTGCAATAACGGCAGCACAGCAGTAGTCACTAAAGAAGGGGAGCTGTACATGTTTGGCAAAGATACACACAACACTGACAGCAGCACAGGTAAAGTCACATCAGCCTGGGAATCAGATCTAAAGCAAATTCAAATTTGTTTCTCGGGTAATACCATTACAAGGAAGAATTCTTTTCATATGATTTTGCAACATGAAGCAAGGCTGCATTCCAGTGATTTACTTGTGTAAAATGAGAGCACTCCTGAGCTCGTTATTGGCAAGAGTACAAGAGTAAGCGAGTGTCCTGTCAATCAGCCCGGAGTATATACTCTTGCATCACATGTTTGGCTGAAAGTTTAACACTTGATCGTTTGCGCAAAGTAATATGCACGCAACATTATGCACAAACGTAAAACTTGCAAAGGAAAGCCTGATGCGAAGTACAGCCATAAGTCAATAAAATAATCTGATGGATTTGTGTATTTGGGATAATACAGTGGCCGGGTTGTGTTCTTATAAGAGCTTTGTCGTGAGCCAAAATTTGTTGCTCGTGCGTAAGTGAAAACCAGATAGCTTATCACAGACGAGAAACAACTTTCCATTTATTGTACCCTGCAGGATTGGTTGGCGACCTCAAGAATGTGAAAGTCACGCAGGTGGCACTGGGCAAGGCCCATGCCTGCATCTTAACCAGTGGCGGCACGATCTACACGGCCGGCATCAACAACAAGGGCCAGTGTGGCCGGGGACCAGCCCTGGGGCCAGGTGCCGGTAAGGACGGGAAGAATGCCAACAATGTGGCCCAGAAGGAAGGCACCGCAGTCAGCCCGGATGAGGTGTGCGGGAACAGTGGGGGTGATGGGGCCAGTGCCTCATCTGCCGCTGTCCAGCTCATGAGAACGCTCATTGCAGAAGGTAAGCAGGAAACAGTGTACACATTGCTGTTAAGCTCATGATAGTGCTTATTGGAGAAGGTAAGCAGGAATATGTGTAGACTTGCTAAAGTTATTGCGAATGCTCATTGTAAAAAGTGATCAGAAGAGAAAAACTTAGCTGCTAAGTTCTTGAGGATGCTCACAACAGATGTTTAGTGGGAAAAATATTGACCTAGCTGGGTTTTTTTAGAAGTTCATAAGAATTCATGAGAAAAAGTTGAAGGTTCCATTTTTGCAAGATTCTTTTTGAAATGCCTTTAACTGAGAAGTGGCTCTAGCGACATGTAACTCAATTTGTCTCGTCAGGTCACTTTTGTTTGGAGACATGAAAACTCTGGCCTGACAAAAATTCTACTTTATTGGGTTTATCGTTCAATTTGAAGTTGCCTTTTGTTCACTTCTCAGGCGAGGCAGCGGGTGACATCTTGGCCCCTGGGGTCGAGGAGGACCTGGAGGAGGAAGAGAGGGAAGAGGAGCAGTGTGACCATGAATGGAAGGTGGGCCAGTGCATGATATGCTCCCTGTGTGGCCTCTGCACGGGCTACGGAGACTCCTGCGTCAACACCTACCAGCCTGGAAGGAATCCTGGAATGTGAGTCTCTGGGGTTTTGGGGGGCTTGTTGAGAAACTGATGATGGATGGAAAGATGGGGTCGGGACAAAGGGGTGGAGACCTGCGTCTTTGTGCCTATCAGCTAGGCAGGAATCCTGGAGTGTTGAGTTTTTGGTCATCGTTGGCTCGTGAGGAATGTCTTGAGTAATAATGTGAGTTTGTGGTTTTGTTTGCTTGTGAGGAATAGCTTGAATGATAGTGCCAGTCTCTGGTTTTGTTGGCAAAGGGGATGGTGAGAGTCAGAAAGGGGA